GAAAGGGGCACAAAAGCCGCAGCTGGGGCTTTGTCCGCGCTCCCACGGGGAGCCGCCGGCCCCGCCGCCCGGCCCCTTTCTCGCCCGCTCTCCGCCGCCACTGCCTGGATCTCCCAGCACTGATTAGGCGGGGCTGCTTTGCTGAGGGCTGGGGACCCCCCCTTCCGGGGAACGAGGGACCCAGGCGTCCAGCCTCCCTCCCCAGGAACCTGGAGCGCGGGGACAGCGCGCAAAGGTTTGGTGCGGGGCTGACCCGTCCTCCCGGAAACCTAGGCTAATGACCTAGGCGGGGAAATTCCGTGCCAATGCTGCCGCCCCACCGAGGGGGGGGCCGAGCTAGGTGGAGAGTGGGTGAGGGGCGACCGAGGCCTTGTCCAGGCTGAGAGACTGGGGGCCCCTCAACCTGCGCGCTACTGCTGCAAAGAACAATTTCTCAGTTGCCGCAATTTCTAAGGGCCGGGCTTGATCTCCAGTTGAACCGGACTCCGGAAGCTGGAGGCCAGGTGCAGGCTCTCCCACTTGCCTCCTGGCAGGGTCTGGGCACCTAGCTCCGGTCCCCTCTTCTTCTTCACTGGTCCCTGAATCCTTTCAGAGTTGGCCTTTGAGTTACTAACCCTGAGCACGCAGAGAGCCCCACAGAACTCATGTGCCTCTCAGTTTAGGCCTTCCTGGTGCACCCTCCCCCCAAATCGGGACATTGGGATCAAATGGGGAAAGAGCTTCCTTGGGCCCACAGCTCCGGAAAGGGGAGCCAGGGCTGCTGCATCCCAGAGGGCCTAACAAACTGGGACAGGGAGCTGAGCTGGGGCTCCCATCCAAAGTGAGGAAAATGAGGGTTGGGGAGAGAGAACAGGGCTGACCAGGTGGAGAACATGAAAAGCAACCTCAAAACTCCCTTTGCAAATGGGTTCATGATGCTCCCCAGCCCCGAAGGGAAGTGGACATCTGGGTGCCTTCCGCCGCATTCCGCCGCATGAGTGGGCCTGCAGGGTGGCTTAGAGCACCAGACACGCAGGAGGTACCTGGGACAGTCCAGATCCCTCGACCCAGGACCCCAAGAATGGTCCCAGATTTTGCCCAGAACAGCAGGTGCAGGAGCACGGACAGCTGGAAGGCTGTGTCTGGTGGTGGCTGAGGGACACGCGGTGGCAGGGCCCAGGGTAGTGTGCCTTTCCGTGTGACTTTCCGGCTGTGTCTCAGCGAGGCGAGGCGAGGGAGTGGGATGTACCTGTGTGCGGCTGTGTGTACTCCTGTGTATCTGGACGCGCGCCCCCACGCATGCGCGCGCCCAGGTGTCCGCGTGGGTAAGGGAGGCCCTGCATTTTGTATGTCTTTGTGCCACTCTGGGAGCGCGCGAGAATCTGCTTTTGTGTCCGGAGTGAGTGTGCCTGGTTGTGATGCGTCTAGATGTGTCCTTGATCGTGTACATCCACGCGAGTGGGACAGGGCGAAGCGCGTCCCACGGTCACTGAAAGCACAAACGGGCCGGGACCTCTGCGCGCTGGGCCACTCAGAGCGGCGCGAGCCGAGGCCGAGCCGCGGGTCCCGGGGGCCGCTTACCTCCATAGTATGTGTACGGGGTGGACCCCAACATCTCAGACTCGTCCAAGCGGCCCCCCAGCGGACGCATGCGCCGCGGACTCCGGAAGAAGGCGTGTCTCCGAGCGCCCAGAGCGCTCAGCTGCTTCATTCGGCGCTCTTTGGACCGTCGGTTCTGAAACCACACCTGGGACAGAGGAGGGGCAGTGAGCTCGGTCCGCAGCGCCTTCCCCTCCCTTCCAGCCCGCCCTGCCCCTGCTGGGTCCTAACGCCTCTGGCGCTCCAGGCCTCCCCGGAGGCGGGGGCCGGGCCGGATTAGGCCGGGAGGGGTGGAGAGGGGCCTCCGTGAACCAGCCAAGGGTGAAGGATTTCGCGGACCCGTGGGGCGACTCATAAAGACTTGGGCTTCCTGGTCCTCGGCTTGTCCGCCGCCTGACGGCTTTATGAAGGCCTCCTGCCCCGCAAGGCTCTCGCCTCGGCTCGCAGCCCGGCGGGCTCGGGCCTCGCCTCTTTCTTTGCTTGGAAGATGGTAGGGGAGGAGGGGTCCTGGACCCCAGAGAGGCTTAAAACCTTCAGGGGACAGGGCAGCAAGTGGAATTCAGAGAGGTGAAGCAGCCTGGTCCAGAATCACACAGCAGGAGGGCAGCAGGGCGGGGCTGAACTTTGGGTTCCTCGCTCCCCACCTCCGGCGGGGCGGATGCCCTGCAGTCCCGGGCTGGGGCGCAGAGCCTGCCCATTGTCGGGCGAGGGGGCTCCCGGGTCCCAGCAGCCGCGGCGAGGAGGACGTGGTGCCCCAGACCGCACCTGAATAACCCGCATGTTGAGGCCGGTCTCCTGCGCCAGCTGCTCGCGGATGTGGCGCGTGGGCTTGGGCGTGGTGGCTCCCGGGTCCCAGCAGCCGCGGCGAGGAGGACGTGGTGCCCCAGACCGCACCTGAATAACCCGCATGTTGAGGCCGGTCTCCTGCGCCAGCTGCTCGCGGATGTGGCGCGTGGGCTTGGGCGTGGCGGCAAAGGCGGCCTTGAGCGTCTCCAGCTGCTTGGCTTTGATGGTGGTGCGGGGGCCGCGCCGCTTGGTGCCCGAATTCTGCTCCTCGTTCTCGTTGTTGGCCGTCTCCTTGTCCGAGGAGGTGGAGTTGTCCGTCTCCTTGGGGTCGTCCTGCAGAGGGTCCTGGAGGTCCGGGGACAAACTGCGGTCCGTACAGGATGACACTGCAGGCGGACGTGGGAAGGGGACAGCGGCATCAGCGGTGAGGCGATCCCGCTCCGATTCGTTGGCCGGTTCCAGCCGGCCCAGGTTACCGCCGACCGGCCCGGTTCCCTCCCAAACCTGCGACGTCCCCGCTCAGAGACCCGGCGCCCTCCCACTCTATCCAGGCGGTGCCTGGCCCTCGTAGCGGCCCGGCTCAGCCCTCTCAGCGCCTCTCCGGGAGTTGGGCGCTGGGGGGGGGCGCCCTCGGGAGAACCGCCTTCTTGGAGAGGGACAGAGGGGCCTACAGATGTCTCCTCCCTTCTTCCGTGCCCTTCTCTCCTTCCTCCAATTCCCAGTGTACCTAGAAATTACCGAGACCTGGAAGAACACAGAAGGATGAATGGAGCAGGTCTGCATTAGGGGCAGAGAACCACTTGGGAAACTCTCAGTTTGCCCCGGGGTGTGTGTGTGTGTGTGTGTGTGTGTGTGTGTGTGTGTGTGTTCCAAATCCTCTCCCTTTTCCTGCCTCCTGGAATGCCCTCTCCTTGCCCAAGGGTGCCTGCCGGAAGAGTCTGGGTGAGAGCTCCGAGGCTGGCCCAGGCCCGACCCGGGAAGGAAGCAGAGCGAGCCAGGCCGGAGGCTGGGCCCAGCCGGCCTCTGTACCTGAGTTGAGACTGCCTTCCTTGAGGCTGGAGGAGCTCAGGTAGTCGTCCTTGCACACAAACTTGTTCTCATCAATGACGTACAGCTCCTCGCCGGTGGACAGCTGCTTGTTGCACACCATGCAGGTGAAACAGTTGAGGTGGAAGACTTTGCTCCGGGCTTTTCGAACCAGGTCGCTGGGCGAGATGCCTTGCGCACAGCCGGCGCACTTGGTGCCGAAGCGTCTGTGGACACAAGGTGCCTGTCACCGTGGGGTGGGCCCAGCGTCCAGGGCTCTCCAGCCTCTCCCCACCCACCCCGAGAAGCCGCTGCTTCGCCATCTGTCAGAAGGGGCAGAAGAGGGACAAACGGTCCCAGGCTCTTCTTGGGGTGGGGGCTGCTGTGCTCCTAGTGAGCTGATTCACAGGCTAATGGGCTGCCTGGAGGTAGGCGGTGGGTGAAGGCTTCAGCCTCCCCCGCAGAGGGTGGAAAGCCAGGCAGCTTGGATTTGCACCACTCTGGGCTTTGCCTCCTGCAGCCTTCCTATCTACCGGGGCTCAGGGGGGCCAATCTGCCTGGCTGCTGGGCCTAGCACTGGGGTGAAGAGTCCCCCAGCCTCTGGGAAGGGCAGGAACAAGGAGGAAAGCTTCCATGCAGTCCCCGCACTAACAAGGGACTTTCTGGTCTCCAGTGTGGGACCCGCTGCAAGAGCTGGGAGCCGTGTACAGCAGGGCCTCAGAGGGGCAGATTCTGGGAAGCAGGGACTCGGCTTCACCCGCTCCCCAAAACCTGGCCCTGGCTGTCAGTGGGGAAGATGTAAATAGAAGGCACCCCAACCCCTGTTCAGCCAGGGCACGGGGCTCACTCCAGTTCCCCGTTCCCTCCTTTGAGGTCTAATTCTTTTTCTTCCTCTGGCTCAGAGAGAACCCTGCCTCCCCCAGAATGGGTGTGCAGACCCCCATGGGCAAGGCTGAGATGCAGGAAGGAAGAGGGATCAGGGCTCTGGGGACCCCACACTCCTCATGCTGGTGTCTCTAAATAGGGAATTTGGATGACATTGATGCAGTGGGGGCATTAGGAGCCATAAGTCACTTTTGGCCTTATCCGGCAGCATAATTGGCCATATGCACCTTATCAAAAATCATTAGGTGCTTTGCAAGCACCACCACATTAGGGGCGCCGGGCCTCCTGGGCCAGGAGTTTACACATGTAAAGACGAGGCTGACATTTTCTCCTATTCAAATTCCCCAGCGCTGGGCCAGTGGGCTGCCTTTCTCTGCGGTGTGGATCACACCCCCCTTCCTTCCCTTGGCGGGTGACCGGGATTTGCACTGACAAAGCCGGCTCTGGGTGCCTGGTAGAAGCAGGCAGAGCTAAGCTGCTGAAAAACCCATGGGCTTCCATGCTGTCGCTTGGCATTTCCCAGCCGGGGAAACTGAGGCTCAGAGGGGTGGCCTGCTCTGGCCTGCGTGAGAGCCCAAAGCATAGGGGGTAGCTGACAGCCCAGGCTCAACCTCGATTCCCAGCCTCCATCCATCTGGGCTTTTAGCACAGGAGGGAATGTTTAAGGGGCTGGGGGGGCGGTGAGGTGTGAGAGGGGAAGGTCCCTCTCCCTGTGGCTGGGCCCCCTCTGCAGCTGAGAAGTTTCTGTGTGTTCAGGAGGGCACCTTGGGCTCATGAATCCTGCCTTGGAGGAGAAACCTCCAGTCGCCCTGAACTCCAGGAGAAATCTTGCCTCCCCCGGATCAGGGCTTGAAGCTTTGGTGCTGGGCTTGCAGCCATGGTGAGCGGGGTCCCTACCCTGCCCCACCGCCTGGGAGCTTCCTGGGGGTGAAAGTGAGACAGAAAAGCAGCGTCCTTCCTCCTCTGCCTAGGCACAGCCCTTTGCGGGGGATCGGAGGAGCCGAGGAGGACAGAGTGCTGCCCGCTTCCGCTAAAGTCTTAAGCTCCGAAGCCCGGGAGCTTGGAATGTGTTTTCCTGGTCTCTCTTCCCCGTGCTCTGGAAAAGCACGGGCAGGGCGGGCTCCCGGGCAGCTCCCGGACAGCAGCGGGCTGGGCCTCTTACCTGAAGAAGTCATTTTTGCAGTAGAGCTTGCCCTCGCGCGAGAAGCACTTCTCCGAGAGGTTGGTTTTGCACTCACAACACTGGACACATTTGATGTGCCACGCGCGGTCCAGCACGTTCAGCAGGAAGCGGTCGAGGATGGGCCGCTCGCAACCGGCACAGTGCACCATCATAGCCGCGAACCCCGAGCGGCCCCGGCCGCCTCGCCTCCCTCCGGGCCCCTGGCCCTTGGGCCTCCTGGCCCTGCCGCCGCTCTCCGCCTCTAGTCTCGGCCGCCGCCTCCACGGGGCGAGTTGGGTCCAGACCAAGATGCAGCTGGTCAAGTCCTCAGAGGGTCTCTGGCCTGGAGCAGGGCTGCCCAGAGTGGGGTGGAGGGTGGCGGCGTTCACAAGCTCATGCCCTGGGTCGCGCGCCCGGCGTTTGTCCCGGGCTCCCGCAGGTGTCTCCGGTGGCTGCTGGCCTCTGCACTGCCAAGCGCCTTTCCCCGGTGGCAGAGGCGCCGGCACTTTCCCCCACTTTCAAGCGGTCCGGATCCTCATCTTTGTCTGGCCGCCGCCTAATTCGCGCATCCTTATTCAGATTTGGTGACGTGGCGCAGCGCGTAGGGGGCCCGGCAGCCAATGGGCGCGCCGTGGCCATGGCAACCTCTTAAATTTATAGCATATCTAAATTGGCTGCAGCGTTGCGGTCCGGACAGAGCAAAAAAAACAAGGCATCAGTATTGTTGAGTATTAGCTTGTGCCTGGTCCGGGGGCTGAGTAAGTATCTGCCTTCCAGTTTGGGGCTAGGGCGGGGGTTGCGCGATCGAAACGGCATCTCTTCCTAGCTCCGCAAATATTTGGGGGGAAGGGCTCCAAGGCCTAGTCAGGGAAGGACTTCCCCCCCTTTTGCCATCCACGGAACTTGCAGAAGTTGCCCGAGGCCCAGAGTGCGGTTGTGTCCGCCTCGTCCTCCCCTGCCCAGCCCCCAAGGTTGGACTTCCGCACCCCCGTGCCCGCCTGCGGTCCGGGCCTAGGAGCTGCGACTGCAACGTTGCCACGTTGCCTTGCGTTGGTTCAGAGACCTAGCTTCTTTTGTCATACATGGGGCTGAGGCTCAGCCAGGCCTTTCTCATGGAGAAAGTGGCTGCCCTGCAGCTTAGGTGGTTTTCCGGGCCTGCTCCCAGGGCCCAGGCCCAGCCCAGGGGAGGGTGTCATCAGGTCTGGTCCAGGACTCCGGAGTTACCCGGCCTGCGGCAGAGCTCACCAGGCTCTGGGAAAGCAGTGGGAACAGGGGAGGTCCAACCTGGACAGGTCTTCCCGAGCAGCTACAGGGACAAGGCCCTCACCCACCTCCTTTCCTGACCACACCTTCCAGTTCCTGGGCACGGGTGGGGGGAAGCGGCTGGCGTTTCATGGGCGCTGTTCACACTCACTTTGTGTGTAGGGCTGGCTATGATTTTGGCTGCTAATAAGAAGGGTGGCGCAGTGGGGGCAGTGCAGGAGTGGCAGGGGGCTGAGGCTGTGGGGAGCTCTGGGCTGTTTGCAGGTGTGTGGAGAGGGAGTGTGCAGGCCTCAAGGGGAGGGGAAGGGACCAGATCTTCTTCCTGAAGCTCAGCGGGGCCACTACACAGGCTCCAAGTTGGAGGGGTCTGGGAATGTGCAGCTGGGATACTTGTTCTGCTGCTGGCTGCTGGTAAGGCGCTTGTGGGGTAGTTCCTCCCAAGGCTGAGAGTGTCTGCCAGGCCTCGACTGTGGGGTTCATGTGGGTTAATTTATGGAGTTTCTTAGTGTATATCTGCTATTTGGAAATGGCAGTATTTTGTTTGCTGAGAGTGTCTTAATCGGTCTTGTGAGTCTTTTTGGGGTCTGTGTATTTTTTTTGTTTGCAAATGTGCATGTTTATGATTGCACACATCCTGCTGTTTGTGTGCGCGTTTTAATTTGTGTTGGCACATGTGTATACTTACTTGATACAGTGTGCATGTGAGGACATTCACATGCATAAGTGTGCATGTGTGTAAAATTATTGACACAATGTGCATGCTCACATTGATGTGGAAATGGGCTTTAAAAATCTGAATGTGTGTGTGTGTGTGTGTGTGTATGTGTGGCTGAGCATGTACATGCTTGAGACTGTGTAACTGAGCTGGGTTGGGTGTGTTTGAGAGTGCAGAATTTTGTAGGTCTGTGTTTGTGCACCTGCCTGTGTGTGTTTGTTCAGACAGGTGTTGGTTTATGTGACTCTTGTAGGTTGGGGGGTATATTTACATTTATGCTCGTACTTCTAGCAATGTTTACCTTCAAGGGATGGTTGGGAGCAAGACTTCTGCACAGAGATGTTCCCTTGTTCCCTGCTTCTCTTCATACCCAGCGCTGCCCCCTCCAGAGGAGGTGGTCTTGCTGGGGACAGGGAATTGGTGGGCATCGGTCTCCGATGAGGCACTGACCCGCCAGCTGGGTCTCTGGAAGAGAAGTCTCCAACCTGGGCAGCTCTGCTAGTCGGTGCTGCTGCCTGGACCTCTGGTTTGTCAGGGTTCAGGTGTAAGTGGACATGGCATGGTGCTGAGGCTGGTCAGAGCCCTCAGAGCCATGCTCAGCCAGGAACAGGCAGGCCCGACTGCACCTCTCCCCCAAGGCCCGTCAAGAGCAGCTCCCAGAGCCTGAGATGGAACCATTTCTGGCCACACCTGCCCTGCCTACCTACAGCAAGATGATTCTTGAGCTGTGGCAGAGCAGAGATGAAGAGACAAGGACCAGAGAGAAGGGCAGAGAGGCTGCTGTGGCAAAGGCAGCTGTGCTGCTGTCCTCTGCCTTTGTCTCTCTGAGGTTTTCTGTCTCAAGTTCTCCCCAGTCTGCTCTGTCCCATTTCTCTTATGCCCAGTATCTGTTCTCTGCCTGATTCCACTGCACTGTTTCTCCCTCCCTTTCTATTTCTTTCCCTCTGCTTCTCTGCTGGTGCCTGAGTCCAGCATCTGGCTCAGTGCTTCTCATTCTGCACCTTGCGGACTACTGTGAGGTGTGGCGGGGGCAAGGCTCACAGCCCACCCACACACTCTGGGGTCCCTGGAACTCCCCATCCGGTGGCCTCCTCTGCTCCAGTCTGGCTGCACCAAGCCCACTTTCCTCTGAGTCCCCACGGGGTTGAGGGGCCAAACCAGTGTGTGCCCCAGCTTGGGGCTGTCCACCGGTGGGCCTGGCTCCATGACTCCCTCACAAACTGTCTGCCCTCTTCTGGATGTGCTGAAAAACCAGTGTGCAGCCAAGCCAGGCCACCGTGATGGCAGCCCAGGGAGGCTGCGAGAACAAGGAAGGAGTGGTTAGGGCCAGGCCTGGTGAGGGTGGGGACGGCTGAGTCTGGTGGCCAGGACTGACCTCTGCCTCTTGTGGCCCCCACCTGGGGCCTGACCTCAGCGCAGCCCAATTCCAGAAACCCCTGTGCCAGCTGGGCAGCTGGGAAAATTATACACCCTGCCACCTTCAAGGGTGCCCAGCCCCAGAAACCGCCAGCAGACCAACTATTAGATACTTTATCCCGCCCTGCAGCGCTAGCAGATGGCAACCAGGCAGTGAAATCCCTTCCTATATGTAACTAATAAACCGCTTGTGTCTTAACAGGGTAATGCATGGAGACGCAATGTCACTTATACAAGATGCTGATGGCATTTACTATATAAAAACCTTCCTCCTAGAGTAAAGAGTATCAGCATTACAACGCGACAGACGGCGGCGGGATAAGTAAAACAGACAAAAGACAAACAAGATAATAATCTGTTTCCGATCACTTAAGCCCCGTAGAGTTAGTAATATGCGGTTTGCATATTCCCCCTTGAGTTCGGTAATTAATTACGGGCGAGGAGGTGCACACCAGCAGGAGAGGGAGTTGGAGGCGCCCAGCCGGCGCAGGGGGTGCTTCGGCGACTTCTCCAGCCGCGGACGCGGGACGGCGGCGGGAATGAGTCTCTCGAAGGCCTCAGAGGCCCCCTTTCCGCAGGCCGAAGAGGATTTCGCTGGCAACTCCTTCCTCTTCCCGGGAAATCGCGGCCACAGGACTAGGCGCTTCCCGGGCGGCCTGCGCGTCTCTGGTGCCTTCGCAGGCGCTCTCCCCACCGCGCACCCCTCGCCCTCTGCTCCCTTGGTATCTGGCGCCACCGCCCGCCTCCTCCCGACCTCGACCATTACTCGCCCCTCCCCAGCCCGCGCGGCTTTAACATTAAACAAACGCAGCGAGCGCCTCGGAGCTGCGCTCTCGGCCGGGGCTGCGCGGCGGCGGCGGCGGCGGCGGCG